GTGCGCAGGTACCCAGACAGCATCAAGGCCACAGGGAATTCTGTTGCAGGCCAATCTGGGCCGTCATTTGCGTTGAGATCTCAACGGCTGAGGGAAGCCTGTCTCTTATACACATCTAGATGTGTATAAGAGACAGCCCCAAGGATGAGCCAGACATCCTGTTGTCCCCATCTTCGACATCAGAAACTTCAACATGGTTGCAACAATAACGAGAAGATGCGTTGTTGGGATCGACGTCATAGCCATGTATGCAGCAAGACCTCTGCAATATCAGAAGAAGTTGAGAAAACAACTTGTAAATGGGAAAACTTATAAACGTGCACAGCATGCTATAGGCACTTCATTATGGCCGCGGAAGAGTTAGCCTGTAGAGCAAACACATGCATGCCTACGGCCGCGGAAACTCCATGCCATGGCTTAGCTACACAGCCCAGCATAGCCCTCCATTCACGACCCAGTTGTTCCTAACGGCGGTCTTTTTTATGGTGGTGAAAATGCCGCTTCCTCATATATCATCAAATATCTCTGGTGGTGGCAAAGAAAACCACTTCCCAACCAATCATCACTGCATGGAACACTCCAAGGCCTCGGAGAGCAGGCTGAGAGAAAAGATAGATGACAGATATTAGCTACCCCCTCAAACCAAAAGCAGAATTGCAACACGAGTTCCACCAAATAAGAGCACAGCAAAAGCTCATAAGTGACAATTTTGGAATAGTCTCATCATCATCAACAAAGAACCAATGTCGACATCCTATCTGGCGCTATGCGCCCAGACTACAAATGGCAGATCCTATCTAGCCTATCTACAATGCCGCTGGTGACGTCAACAGCTCCCGAAGTACGAGCAGATCTCGGCCAATGCCGTTCACCTCAAGCACCAGGTATGTCTCTCGTATCACTCACAACCTCAATCCCCCACTCACAGATGACACTTGCACCCAAGGACCACCACGTGCCCCATCCAGCTCAGCGCAGCACAGCTCGGCTATGGCTGCCTGCTCTCCCTGCTCGCCCGTGAGCGCGTGGGCCTGGCCAGCGATTAGCGCAGCATGCACCCAGTGCCCGAATGCCGAATCTGGAGGCAGGCCCTTTCCTAAATGGAAGTGGCCTGCCTGCTGCGTGCGGCAAGGCTGCACTGGGCCCCGGCCCAGAAGCTTCCGGTAGGCCCCGAGAGGCTGAGCCTCAGTGCAGACGAATCAGGCCCAGGGCCTGTGGTGGTTACCCATGCCCAACTGCCCGCGGCCTGTGTTCGGTCCATGTTGTGTATCTGGCCCAGGGCCTGCCTCAGTTACATACGATAAAGGCAGCCTGGGCCTGGGCGCTTTCAACCAACTGGCGCTGCGCAACTGCCTAAATTTTCCCCAGTTGCGTGGTAGTCCAAAATAGGCCTAGTTCGGCCCTGCCTTCACATAGGGCGGCCGACCTTGCTGATAACAGGGCCCAGTAGGGCTTACCGAGGCCTTGTGCCTCGCAACACACTTCCCCCTAGATATGTCTATCTCACACCCTACTAAGCCCTATCTCTAATGCAGGTATAATCCCCACCTATAATAATGCACCTTCTTTTCTCTGAAAGACTGAAAGGATTATACACCGCAGACATATGTTCCCCACCCATATCAACGCATACCCTACTTTGCATACACACATGCACTCTCAAAAATGGCATCTGTGCTAATATAGGATGCATCATATCCCATCTATAGCATCATCCATAGCATCACCAATAGCATTATCCATAGCATCACCCATAGCATCATCAATATCGTCACCCACAGCATCATCCATAGCGCCACCTATAGCATTATCCATAGCAATGATAGCATCACCCATAGCATCACCCATAGCATCATCCATAGCATCACCCATAGCATCGTCCATAGCATCGTCCATAGCATCACCCATAGCATTGTCGGTAGTCCTGTGGTCCTGTAACTGTCACTTGCACGTTAACTTGCTCCAAAGGAAGATGCAAAAGGTAGTGCCTTAAGGCTGTTCTGAAAGCAAAAAAAAAATAAAAAAAATTAAAAAAAACATTTTTTTTCAGTTTTTTGGATGTCTTTTGTATTTTTCTATTTTTTTTGCTAGGACCTTCTTTGGTCCTTGCACGGCCGGGCCAAAAGGTGACCTGGGCAGCCCGCCCGGCTGGTAGCCTAGGTATAAATGCAGAATTCTGGAAATTGGCATTGCTGGTGAGTCCGCCGCCATGGAATTCGCATTTCTGGCATCTTCAGCTTCCGACTTCCACTATAAATGGTCCGCTGGTAATCATGCAAAAACAAAATGCATGAACTCAAAAGGCAAGAGAGAGAACAACACATCCCTTAGCAGTGGTCAATCACTAATCACCGGGTCACATCGAGAGGAACATAGCGTACCCAAATGGCCCGAACGACTGCTCAATCCTTCTTGATAAGTAGAATGATGGAATCAGGAACAATGTCCAGCATATAAAAACATATGCACTGCCCTTTTCTCCCACCATCAGCAACTGGAGCGCCACACTCAGAGCACCCACACAGACCCCAAACCCCATGAAACCCCCACCCAAATGAAATCAAAATTGAAACATCCACACAAATGAAATCGGAATCCCACCCCAAATAAAGACTTGGTTAGCTGGAGACCTTGGCAACCCCGCCAGCCTCAGCAACAAGCACAAACAAAAAAAAACGGACCGAGGCACTCTCAGCAGCAAGCACAACACTCACTGCCCCTTTCAAGTTTCAACAGTTCTTAGCATCCTGCTCTTGTTATTTTAAGGGGAGTAGCCCCTAAGGGCCCCAACATTATCTGTCCTTCGGGACGTCACAGTCACTCAAAAATTGGAATGATATATAGAGACGATCACCATGGCCCCTGGGAAATTAAGGGGGCACACATACAAATCCAGAGATAGTCCAAAGGAAAAGGGGGGAAAAAAAACAAAAGCCCCTAATTTCTGTAAGTTCCGTAACATTATAATATGATTATATCTATCTGATTCCAGCAGGATTCAAACTGATGACCTGTTTCTTGATAGTTTATAACTTCATATGTGTCTTCCATCCTCCTCTTTGTTTTGGAGAATTGGAATACAAACGACTTTGGGGACCGGGGTAACCTCTATATTCCTCGTTAATTTCAAGAATAAAGAATAGAATAGGAAGTTAGTTGAGATTCACGGATCATTCACCCCTTTACACCCCCTCAAACGCTCATTTATAGCCCCCAATCAGTGCTGCATACCCCGATGGTCAGCGCCCTTGACTGATCGGCTGGTCGGCACCTATCGGTTGGGGGTCGTCCGCAGAACCCCCAATAACCCCACCAACACCTCCATAGCGGCCCCAAATACCCCCATACACCCCCCCAACACCCCCATAACAGCTGTCTCTTATACACATCTAGATGTGTATAAGAGACAGGATTTGGGCTGTACTCAGCAAGCGCAGTACAGCCCCCAACTCAGATTTGAAAAAAATCAGTGGATGGCTGTTTTCTGACTGGTCGGCAGACCGCCGACCGGTCTGCCCTACTGGTCGGCTGCAAAACGGTCGGCGGTCGCGGTTGGTGGTCGGCAGGTATGCAACCCTGCCCCCCAATCCCCAAGTCCGAGTCAATTATGTTCCATACGAGAAAGACTGGATTCTCAGTGTGAATGGACCGTATTGTTTGGCCAAACAGATATGTAACTTGGTAGTAAGTTGGTGCATGACATTTGTATTAATCTAGGCTACCAGAGTGGCCCAGGATCACTTGTCCGGCCGGGCCAAATAAAAATTATAATTCAAAATTCAAAAAAATATTTTTTTAATCAGGGTAATCGGCATTCGGGACGGGCCGAACGCCCGAACGTGCGGGGGATGCGTTCGGCCGTTCGGACCGAACGCCGACCAAAAAAAAAAAAAAAAAAAAAGTAAAAAAAAAAAAAATAAAAAAAATCTGAAAAAGAGATATGTTGTGAAGAAAAAGACAATAAAAAACATTTGTCTGAGTATTTTATCCAAACTCCTTACCAAATTTGAGATACAAATAAAATACAGAAAATAAAACTAATAAACAATAATAAAAAAAATAAAAAAAAATGAGAAGAGAATTAAAATTAGTGAGTGAGCGAGAACGTTTTCGACACCGCCATCTTTGGCGATTTTTATGTTTTTTTGGCACAGCCAAATGCCCTGAAAATTTACAGACATGTACTTCACATAATACAGAACTCGTTAAAAAAGTTTCAAAAAATAATATTGTTTTTTTGGCCCCGCACTAAAGTAAAAATAAAATAGTGAGTGGGCGAGCATGTTTTGACACCGCCATCTTTGGCGATTTTTAATGTTAGTTTGGCTAAGAAAAATGACTTCAAAATTTATAGGCATGTACCTCACATCATAGAGATCTCACAAAACAACAAATCAGAAAAAAAAACTTATTTTTAGACCCCGAAATATTTTTTGGCGGGGGCCGAACACCGTCGGGTTCGGACCCCGAACGGGACCCCGAACGCCCGTACGTACGGGGGTCGGCCCGGAGACCTCCGTACGTACGGGCTGGTGACCCTGTTTTTAACTTTAATTTTTATTTTTATTTTGGTAAAGAATTTCGATGTGACCCTGAGGCAAAAGTTGAAAAGTTGTTAACTTTATTTTTCTGCATAACATAGTTCTTTTTCGGATTTTTCCGATTTTATTATTTTTTCGCTGTGACCTACTTTGGCCCTTGCACGGTTGGGCCGCCCGGGCAGGCAAGGTCACCTGGGCGGCCCTGATGGTAGCCTAGGTATTAATTTAAGAATTTGAGAATATCCTCGAAGATAGAGCTTCGTTAGTGACCCAACACAGAATTGGAACATAACGCCGGATTCGGAGCGCTCAGGCCACGGATAGGACTAGTCAGCAGTCAGAAGGCTCAGAACACCCTTTCTTAAACCTTGGGCCATTCTTGGCCTGCCTGGTTTCCCAGGGTAGGCCCAGGCTTCCATTCCAGGCCTGCGCCTGTGCCCAACCTGGGCAGTTTGCTAGAGTGGATTGTTTTGAAAATTTCCAAAGAATGTAAATTTCTGAACCGCCTGGGCAATGCATGAACTGAGAGCCTCGGTTGCCTGTTCAGGGACCTGTCCATACCTCAAGCGTCCACACAGCCTTCGGAAAAAAACAAAAAAAACAAAAAAAAACAATAATTACTAATTACCTAGGCTACCAGCCAGGCCACCCGGGTCACCCTATTTTCCCAGATGGCCCGGCCGTACAAGGACCTATGCAGAAAAATAAACTGAACAACTTTTGCCTCAGGGTCACATCAAAATTCTTAACCAAATTTAAAATAACAATAAGTTTTTTTTTTTTTGTTTTTTTTTTTTTTTGGGTCCGGCCGGGCAAGTGCCCCCGGGCCACTCTGGTAGCCTAGCTAATTAGTAATTACTACACGTTATACCTGTACGGACACCCAGACCCTGACAGCATCCACGGCCATATGTCCGGACAGTTTGGCTGGCCGTCCAGACATCTGGGTCGCAACCATGCTAGTGCCTCACACATTTTAGCAACTCATAATTTGCAGAACAAAGAAAAATTAAAAAACTCTCAACACCGAGTTCGGAAATGAAAAGGAGAAACAAACCGATGCTTACCAGGCCAATCGATATGCTTGCAGTGATTCCTCCGCCCCAATGTCCAGCCCAGTCAAGGGCAACCTGCAGCCACACGAGGTCAAGTTTCAAATGAGTCCTCCTTTCATTCCACCATCCCACGGTTGACCTTCCCCCCCCCCTTTCCCCCCCCCCGCCCCCACTCCCCGAATAGACCCATTCAGAGAAATACAACCTTCCCATCCAGGCATGGAAGCTAATACAACTAATTACAATAAAAAAGTGAGAAAGTATGGTCGATAATGTTTTCAAGATGTCGATGAACACAACCAGTCACTCAATGAGTCAATGCTCTAAAAGCAGATCTGGATTTTCTATGCTCATCTGTTGGTGAAGCTTATATTAACTGTAACTGGATGAAGTCCACGGCCATTGCCTCAAGAGGGTCGAATTTCAAGCCGTCCAATGAAACGGAAACGTTCCCGGGAGTCCAAGTGGCGCTAGAAGATAGTGGCAGGAGACAACAAGTTTTATCATTGAAGGAACGACATTGCAGGAATCCAATCAGTAGGGAAGATGGTGGGTGTCTGTCTCTTTAAAGCACCAGTGCCAATCCCCCCTCCTCCAAAACTTGCAGCCGTATACACGCCGCAAAATGAAAGACTCGGCCTACCGGACCCAAAGGGAGTGCTGCGGAAGTGCGCAAATTACAAGTGTTACAACTTCGGTGATTCTTAAATCTCATTTCATTCAACGAAAAGTTTCTGAAAAAAAAATCAGGTAGGATAATGTTCCACTGTATCGGGGTTGGGGGGGGGAAGAAGGGAATTAAAAATAAACGAATGATGTCAAGCCAAACGCATACGTTGAGGTGTCACGTTTCAGGCTGGGCAGACCAGGGTCCCTCGCTTTCGGACGTTCGACAAAATACGTTTCTGCGGAAATTATGCCGCACTGGTGGTTTAAACCACCAGTACCCGCCGCATTTTTCGTACCCCCCGGGTTCGGATGAATTTGACTGGAGGGGCAGGCCGATTCGGCTGCCGCCTTAACGGCCGCCCCAACCGGTAGCTACTGGCGGGCAGAGCCCTGCTATTGAATAGTCTGGAAGATTCTAGAATCTGGCTCCCTAGCATGGTCTAACTGTTGGATGAGGACTGCTACAAAGTTGGTACGAACGGGGATCAGAAGAGCGGCCGCACAATACCTGCGGAAGAACGAATCTGGTCCAGAAAGGAACTTCATATCCAAAGTTCCATGGTGGGAAAATAGTGAAGAACTGGGACAAAGGGGGACTTGGTATAATTGACCCCGAAAAAAGGGTGTGCAAGGAAGATGAGCAATAGCGAACCTCAGCAATCAATCAGCATCATACATACGAGTCCAGATAGTCTTGACTCGAACCAACAGCAGAATTGCATCACGAGATTCACCAAATAAGAACACACCAAGAGTTCATAATTGACAATGCTGAAATAGTCCCATCACCATCAACGAAGAACCAGAGTTGATATCCTATCTGGCGCTCGGCGCCCAGACTACATGTGGCAGATCCTATCTAGCCTATACTACGAAGCCGAGAGATGACATCAACAGCATTCCCGAAGTACGAGCATATGGCGACCAATGTCCAGCGCCAGCCATGTCTCGCGCTACACTCACAACCTCGTTCCCCAACTCACAGATGCCACTAGCACCCAAGGACCACCCTGCGCCTCACCCAGCTTACAACAGCGCAGCTCGGCTATGGCTGCGTGCTCCTTCCCTGCTCGCCCGTGAGAGCGTAGGCGCCAGCCAGCAAATAGCGCAGCAGCACCGCTTGCGCAGCATGCAGCCAGCACCCGAATGCAGAATGAGGAGGCAGGCCCTTCCCTATATCGAAGTGGCATGCCTGCGTCCAGTCCCAGGAAGCTTCCAGTAGGCCCCGGTAGCCTGAGGCCCAGCACGACGAGAGCAGGCTCTGGGCCTGTAGTGGTTGCATGTGCCCAACTGCCTTCGGCCTTTGTTTGGCCCGGTACCCGTATCCAGCCCAGGGCCTGCTTCACATTCATTCACACAGGCGGCCAGGGCCTGGGTTCACTCAACCAACTGGTGCTGCGCAGCTGCCTGAATTTCCCCGAGTTGCGTAGTGGCCAGAAAAGGGCCCTGAGGGCCTCGTCGAGCCTGCCTTCACTTAGGGCGGCCGACGGGCTACAAAAATGGGGCCTTATGGGGCTCATAGAGGCAATGGCCTCGCAGGTGGATGCACTGATAGCAAGATGGTCGACCAGAGTTCTGACTGATTCCAATGAGATACAATGGACGAGTTCGGCTAAAAAATCTTGAGAGTATCAATGGGAACTCTGCAGAGAGGAAGACACTACAGTGTGCTTGTCAATCTAGCCATATCTGACGAAGAAAATCATCTCCCCCCAGAGTAGTCATGCCGACGGTTGGCTCCCCTGGATTGGTCGGGGGCCGACCAGCCGACTGTCGGACTGGTCGGCAACTACCGGTCGGGGGTCAGTCGGCACCCCACAAAACCATTTTTTTTATTTTTTTTTTGGGTCCAGAACCCCAAATATCCCCATCAACACCCCCATAGCCCCCCCCCTCCAACAGCCCCAACAACCCGAACACCCCCATACCTGTCTCTTATACACATCTAGATGTGTATAAGAGACAGACTCCAATTTGGTTAAAATGACCCTTGGGTTTTCTTATAAATTGCCTGACAAGTGGTCTGAAAATTGAGGTCTCCGTTAACCGGCTCTCCTACACTCCCACTCCCACTATCCCGCTCTCCCGCCCCAGTATCTGTCTCTTATACACATCTAGATGTGTATAAGAGACAGCCGTAACCCCCCCCCCATCCCCCAAAGTTTCTCAGCAGATTTGGGCTGTACTCGGCAAGCACAGTACAGCCCTGAACTCAGATACCGTAGGGCCGTAGGCATCGGCCGTAGGCGGTCTGACAAACCTGTCTCCCCCCTATTTCTCCCGTCTCCACCCTTTTTCTTCCATTTCCCCTACTGATCCACCATCTCCACCTCTCCCTTCCCTCCACCCAGGGTCATCCACCATCTCTAAGCCATCTTCCAACCCCTCTACCCAGCACTGATCTCCCCTCTATTCGCCATCTAAACCACCTCTATCCCGGCCCTATCCGCCATCTCCACCCTTCCATTCCCTTTCCCTCTGCCATCTCCCTTCCCTCCACCAAATGCTCACCCACAATCTCTAAGCCACCTCCCAACCCCTCCACCCCAGCATTTTTTGCTTTTCTTCTGTATTTTCTTTTTGTGTGATATGTAGGTGCTTCAGGGTACGCCGTGTCCAGTTTTGACATGTTTGGATCAATAACGAAAAAGTGGCATTTCATTGGATCCTTTGAATGCTTCACTTTTACTTGGATTTTTGTGCTAGGGTTTTTCTAACTTTTACTGTGTTTTTGTGCTTTTTGTTCGTTTTCTTTGCTCTGTTTATTTTTTTTTATGTTTCCATTATGGGCCCATATAGTTTGTTTTCGATTTTTTCGCTGAATTTTGCACCGAAACTCCTGGCGAAAACGGTGAATTTTTGGCCCTCTGTTAACCGCGTGTGTCGTAACCCGTGTTCTGCAGCAGTCTGGGGGCTCGAAACTGCGCCCAGACTACACAGGCCAAACACGGCCTGCGACAGGCAGTGCAACCACGCATTGCCCCCTTGAAAGTCAAGGGTCCAAGTCAACTGTCAGGTCAAAGGTACCGCGCCCAGGCCCTTGGTCGGATACACTCACTTGTTGTGCGCAGGTACCCAGACAGCATCAAGGCCACAGGGAATTCTGTTGCAGGCCAATCTGGGCCGTCATTTGCGTTGAGATCTCAACGGCTGAGGGATGCAGCACCTGAGGTCCAAACCCCGCGTCAACGCCAGATAAGTGTTGACCTTCTGGCTTCGAAGTACATTTCTGTCTTGCGCCAATGCTGACTTCACGCGTTGACAACGACGCTAGAGCCACGCTGCGACGCTGGCTCTACACTGGCAACTGGGCGAACTACGGCGACGCTCTGCTGGCTTGGCATGGTGGCTGGCTTGCAATTGTCTTCTGGGCATGCTGACGTGGCAGCTGCCACGCGCCGCCGCCGACGTGGCCGCTGCCACGTATATTATTATTGTTGACGTGGCGAGGCTACGCGACTGGTATCGCTGTTCTGTTTCGACGACATTCGGGAGGAAATCATAACTGTGGGGCGATAGTGGATACGTACCTGGTTATCTTGATGTCGACATTGCTCCAGCTCACTGATAAGGACTGATTGACATGCCATGTGGCACATTGTGATAGAACTTCAGATGCGCGTTCCGATTATTGATTATTGAGGTGATGATCGAGGAGGGAGCCCGAAGCAGAAGTGGGCATTGTCTTTTATTCTTCTTCTACGTCTAATCTCCCTCCTCTCTCCTTCGTCTGTGTATGATTTTCCCATCTCAAGCTATCTGGACACGATTATGATTATTGTTAATCATCAGCAGGTTGATATTCATCTGGGCTTGCATTGTTGACAAGTGTCTTCACGATCTGGGTCGATTGCAATTTGGTATCGGAGCTGTACTCCCGATGATGACCTGTACGAGAACGATGACGACAAAGACACACGTGCTGATGTGGACAAGGAACAGCGCTTGAGAACGCACGTCAGGTGCTGACGTGGCATTGGTATCCCGACAGGGAATGTTCCAGTCAGGATCGCGTTGCGCTCCAGATCCCGATCGATCGCATTTGCGATCGGGATACATTGCTGATGTGGCCAGCGATTATTGAGGAACGCTGACGTGGCAGTGCTGACTCACCACTCGTCTATTGTGTTGAGGAGCTCCAGGCTGACGTGGCATTGTCTGACATGGTTTCCATTGCCTGGCTGACATGGCATTGTATGATTGACTGGCAACGTGCTGGTATCGCTCCAGGAGATCAGGCTGGCTGACGTGGACGATCAAGGCGTACGCTGCTGACGTGTACCCCCACTGATGATGATGACTGGACTAATGTGCTGACGTGGCAGACTCGATGAGCTGCTGTGTTGGCATGTCAGGGGTGACACGTGGCAGGGACGAACATGCCTAAGTGGGAAGATACACTTTGACGACGAAGGCGGCATGGTTGGAAGACTAACGTGACTGTGGTGCTGGACGTCAGATCGAGTGTGTGATCACACCAGACTTTAGAAGACACAGCATCAGAAAGGAAGACGCTAACTATTGATGTTCTGTTTGTTGGCGGACTTACCTGTTGTCGTGAGCTGTGTTGTGTGCCTGTGTACTCACTTGTGTGCTGTTGATGATCACGCTGGCCTGGGATGTGGTACCTGTACTAATATAGGACGTCATCACACAAAATAAACAGAAACGCAGTCAGATTAGATAGGAGAAACTGAAATTATTTCTTTCTGTTCCATTCTATTGAAATCTTTTCTTTTCAAGATTGTGTTGACTCGGGTGGCCGATCAAATTAATTGTCTTCTTTTGTTTATTTGAGGTAGATCAACCAGACAAATTTTCTTGTTTTTGTCCTTCGAAAATGTCTCACTTCTGGAAAAATCTGCAGATGTCTATTATGACGAGGTTTGTGACCACGTTTTTGTTTCCTATTCCAATCACGCTCTCTGTGGGCGATGGACCGTCTGAGATTAGGACTCGGACGCAGGCCGAAAATAGGAAACAAGAACTGCTAGCCTTGTGGAATCAACTGTTGACTGAAATGCGTCTATCCGGACCAGATGCCGAAGAACACATCCGTGACAGATTTGATTTGAACACGGCTGAGGACCGTCTGAAGAAAGCTGTTATGGCTGTGGAGGTTGTGGAAGCTGGGACCGAGGTCTCCAAAGTGGTTGCCCAGTGTCGACAGGCGCTGGACCAGTCTGCACTAAACAGTTGGAAGAGGTGATGAAACTGACTCGTAAAGGTAAGATTAAACCAGAAGTGTCTGAGGCTACGACTGAAGCGAACATCCAGCAAGTGAAAGAAACGCTGGCCGTGGAAGAAAGAAAGAAAGAAGAGCTGGCAAGAAGAAGAGAACAAGAACAAAGGAGGGAACAGAAAGTTAGAGAAATTAGACAAGTGATTTAGACAGAAACTGGGAACAGCTTGACATGTCGCATACATTGACTCATATTATGACTTACCTTACCTTTTTGGAAGAGAAAATTGACAAACAACAACGTCAGTTAGATGAGATTGCTGTAGGAACGAGAACAATCACAAACATTGTGAAAGGAAAGAATCAGGTAGAAGGTAAGGAAGAGGCAAAAGAAGAGAAAAAAGAAGTGAAGAAGTTGATGAGTGATGCTATCAAGTCTGCTGGTCCTAAAGTTGAGACATCGATCAATGGAAACGGACCGCCGAGTCCACCTCCCTCTCCGCCTAATTCTCCTCATTCTACTCCTTCCAAGTCTCCTTCTTCGACAACCCTGGATAAGACAAGTGCAGAACCGGAGGTGCCAAAGAAGAAAGAAAGAGTGAAGATGAAGTTTCCTTTTACTTTTAATAACAAGAAAGATGAGAGTCTGCGTTTGTGGATTGCTGAAATCCAAACGTATGTAAGCACCGCTCCGGTCGAGCCCAGAGTCCCAAGTGGCGTTCACCACCTCTTGCATGGGAGGTGAGGCCAAACAATGTGTGTTGGCCGAGGCCAACGCCGCGGGTTTTGAAAACATCGGTGAATGGGCAAAGACATTGACCCTGAAACAGTTCTTGGCCAAAATCAAGGACCGTTTCCTGGACAAGACGACGGCGGACAAGGTGTTTGGCCAATTAACTACGATTGGTCAAAAGCATTGGACGTCGGTCGAAGCTTTGTCCCGTGAAGTCGACCGATTGCTGCAGGTTCCAGGATTGAACCTGCAAGACAGCCAAGTGTTGTGTACTAACTCTCGCGCGTTGCCTGCGCCCATCCGGGGACACTTGGTGGCCGAAGCAAAGTCCCGAAAGTATAATTATAGGCAATTTTGAGACCTCGCTCTACAAAGGGAGCAGATGACTTCTCAAGTCAAAAACTCCTATGCCGCCGTAGTCAAGTCTGGAGGAGGAGGGGGGAAGATGTATCGCGGAGGAAGACGAGTTATCTGGCGATAGAAGCGTCAGGACCACATCCTCGTTGTCTTCGATGATGACACGGTGGAAAAGTGCCCAGAGAGACGGGAATGAAAAGGATGGCCAACAGTGACTCCGGGAAGGGGGAAGTCACTGCTGCCGTGGCCACCAAGGGAGGGCCACCCAAAAATTTTGTAAGGAAGAGATCGCGCTCGTTTCCAGTGCACCCTAGCATTGCCGAGGGGAAGTTCTGGTTAAAGATAGGAGCGCATGGACAATGCGCAATGTCTTAAATGCGGTACAGCAGGACATGTGATCTCATTCTGCCCTTTGATCAAAAACCCAAAAGCGAGCAGCCAGCTCCAACTGAGATCAAGGGTAAGGACGAACAGAAAGGTGAGGCGCCAACGAACAATTCCTACCCTTCTTCTCATATGGCAGAGGATGAATCTTCCTTAGCCCATCATCCAGACCGCCCTCACATTGTCTTGTTTTCTATCTCTCTGGATGACTCCCTTGATGAGTTAGGGAATGAATTGCTAGCCTTACGTAGCTCATGGGCTCGAAAAGCAAAGTCTGAGGGCGAATTATTATTTGCTGATGTAGAAATCGCACGAAAACGAGTAGGTGCGTTGTTGGACCCCGGAGCGACGAGGTCCTACATCTCCGAGAAAGCGATCCACAAGTTGCATCTCAGAATGAAGGTGAAAGAATTGTTTCGACCTATCACGTCTATGTTAGCGGACAAGAGTACAGTCACTGTCTCACAGTATGTTGATCGTATTAAGTGTCAGTTTAGAACTAGGGAAGGAAAGAAGATTATGCATGAGTTGTCTTTCCTCAAATATTGATTTCAAAGGCAAGGTTGTGCAACTTAAGGATGCACAATCTGAAATGAAACCTATCAAGTTATATCATAAGTCTTGCTCTGACCTTAGTTTGTCTTTTTGTTGTATAAGTTACCCAACTTTTCGATCCATGGTTTCAAAGAAGTTGGAACAGGAAGTTATGATGGTGTTGGTAAAGAAAGTTGGTGAGTCTTCTTCTTTCTGCCCTCCAACTATTGAAAGTCTTTTTTTTTAGTTTAAGGATCTGCAGACTGAACCCACTGGAATCACACAACGTGTTATCAAGCACACTACTGAAATCATTCTGGGTAGCAAGATTCCTAAGGGCCCCATATATCGAACGTCTTCCAAGGAACTTGAGGAATTAAAGAAACAACTGCAGGACCTTACTGACAAGGGATGGATTCGCCCTACCTCATCTCCCTACGGTGCACCTATCTTGTTTGTGCCCAAAAAGGAAGGTGAATTGCGTCTATGTATTAACTATCGAGGGTTGAATGTCGTCACTGTCAAGAATGCCGAACCGCTTCCTTGCATTGACGACTTACTTGATCAGCTGCAGGGTTGCAAGTATTTTAGTAAGATTGATCTGAAGTCTAGGTACCATCAGATCGAGGTGGAACCCGCGGATCAACACAAGACTGCATTCTGGACAAGGTATGGCCATTACGGGTTCATGGTAATGCCTTTCGGATTGACAAATGCCCCTGCGATATTCCAACGGTCAATGAATGAATTGTTTCGTCAATGGTTGGATCTGTTCGTTATTGTCTATCTCGATGACATTCTAGTATATAGTAAAACACTAGTAGATCACGAGAAACATCTTCGTCTAGTCTTAGGTAAACTCCGAGAAGGCAATTTCAAGATAAACTCAAAGAAGTCTCGAGTTCGCTAAGTTTGAAGTCTTATACTTAGGACATATAGTGAACGAAGATGGCCTAAGGCCAGAAGAAAAAAAAATATCCGCAATTCGAGATTGGCCACGACCTAAGTCTGTAATTGAACTACGATCTTTCCTTCGTTTGGCAAGCTATTATAGAAAGTTTGTTAGAAACTTCTCACTAATTGCCGCACCAATGAGAAGGTTGTTAAAGAAAGCCACTATCTGGCTGTGGGACAAAGATTGTGAGTCTTTCCTTCAAGAAGATAAAGAATGCTTTGACTCACTATCCTATTCAGAAAATTATTGATCCATCACTTCCCTTCATTGTCACTACTGATGCAAGTCGATACAGGATTGACACAGTCCTTCAACAGAACGATGATAAGGGTTATAGACCCATCGAATTTATGTTTGCACGATTACCATTGGAAAAGGTCGCTAACTCCACTTATGAAAGGGAATTATATGCCTTAGTCTATGCGTTGGACACATGGAAGCACTACTTGTTAGGGAGACACTTCACTGTGTACTCAGACCACTTAACACTGGAGTGGATAAAGACACAGCCTAAACTCTCCGATAAGTTAGTACGATGGTCTGCATTCATTGAAGTCTAATGTGGTTGCAGATGCGTTGTCCAGACGATGTGATTTCTTTGGTACTATTGTCTCATACTTAGATGTTGGGAATGATGTGAACGATAAAATTCGTCAAGGCTATGCTACTGACCCTATCTGGAAACCTATCATGTATGTCCTTGCGAAAGACCCAACTTTACTTCCCAACTATAAAATAACTGATGGTTTGTTTTTCTTGCCAGACCAAACTGAACAAAGATTGTGTATTCCCCACAAGGAAGAAATGAAAAGTCTGTTGATTGGGGAATGTCACGACACTGAGGGTCATTTTGGTTTAAAGAAAACTTACGGTGAGGTTAGGGAACGTTTCGAATGGAAGGGATTGAAAGAAGACGTACTAACTTATGTTTTTACATGTCTGGTGTGTCAGAGAAACAAACCTTTGCATGAGAATCCACTTGGTCTTCTGAAACCATTACCAATTCCTAGCGAACCAGGTGAGTCCATCTCGATTGATTTTATGAGTCTCACCAGATGCGATGGGTGACGATGTATGGTTTTCCTGAGTCTATTGTGTCTGATCGCGATGTCAGGTTCACAAGTATGCCATGGCAAAAGCTTATGGAAGCATATGGCACACGACTGGCCTCCTGAAAGAATGGCCAGACTGAACAGATGAACCGTTTGTGTCAACAACTTTTGCGCATGTATGTGAGACCCGATCAGATTGATTGGGACGAAAACTTACCCAAGATCGCAAGTGCATATAATAGTAGTGTTCATACCTCTACAGGACGAACACCTAACGCACTACATAAAGGGTGGAAACCTAAGCGTCCCATTGATGTATTGACGAGGGACCAGTTCCTTAGGTTACCTCCAGGGACCCGAGAATATGCAATATTGTTTCAAGAAAACATCAAAAAGGGAAAGGAAAATCTGAAGAAAACTAAGACCCAAATTATTGAACAAGCTAACAAGCATCGTCGACCATCTACATTCAAGGAAAGTGATTTAGTATGGGTCAAGTCCAAAGAGTTTTCATTGGAAGAAGATGTGTCTCAAAAATTATTGCCTGTCTATTTTCGACCTTGGGAAGTTCTCAAAGTGATTGGGGATTCGGGGGGACAATCTTACCGTATTGATATTCCCCCTCACCTCAAAATGTATCTTGTTTTTCACGCGTCCAAACTATTACCCTATGTAGAAGGAAACAAGTTTCCAAACATACCACCTATGATTCCACCATCAATGGAAGGCAGGTGTGAAGTACATCGGATCATAGAACATGGATTCTTTTTTACAGGAGGACACGGACGTCCACAAAAGCAGTTCAAGGTAGGTTTCAAATCTCAGTCTCCGTCTGAGGACAAATGGTTTAGTAAAAGAGAATTACTTGAAACTGCTCCTGACATTGTGCCTGCTAATGAACGTGGGTTAAGGTCTTAATTATTTCTGCAATGGAACTCGAATATGGGTCGGCAAGAATGTAGTAACCTCTGTTCTGCAGCAGTCTGGGGGCCCGAAACTGCACCCAGACTACACAGGCCAAACACGGCCTGCGCCAGGCAGTGCGACCATGCACTGCCCCCTGGAAAGTCAAGGGTCCAAGTCAACTGTCAGGTCAAAGATACCGTGCCCAAGCCCTTGGTCGGATACACTCACTTGTTGTGCGCAGGTACCCAAACAGCATCAAGGCCACAGGGAATTTTGTTGCAGGCCAATCTGGGCCGTCATTTGCGCTGAGATCTCGACGGCCGAGGGATGCAGCACCTGAGGTCCAAACCCCGTGTCAACGCTACATAAGTGTTCACCTCTTCGCTTGGAAGTACATTTTTGTCTTGCGTCAATGCTGACTTCACGCGTTGACAACAACGCTAGCGCGACGCTCCGACGCTGGTTGGACGTTGGCTCTACGCTGGCAACTGAGCAAACTACGGCGACGCTCTGCTGGCTCGGCGTGGTGGGTGGCTTGTAATTGTCTTCTGGGCATGCTGACGTGGAAGCTGCCACGCACCGCCGCTGACGTGGCCGCTGCCACGTATATTATTATTGTTAACGTGGCGAGGCTATGCGACTAGTATTGTTGTTCTGTTTCGACGACATTCGGGAGGAGGTCATGACTATGGGGCGATAGTGGATACGTACCTGATTATCTTGAAGTCGACATTGCTCCAGCTCGCTGATGAGGACTGATTAACGTGCCTCGTTGCACATTGTGATAGAACTTCAGATGCGCATTCAGATTATTGATTATTGAGGTGGTGATTGAGGAGGGAGGCCGAAGCAGAAGTGGGCATTGTCTTTTATTCTTTCCTAAGTCTAATCTCCCTCCTCTCTCCTTCATCTGTGTATGATTTTCTCATCTCATTCTATCTGGACGCGATTATGATTATTGATAATCATCAGTAGGTTGATATTCATCTGGGCTTGCATTGTTGACAAGTGTCTTCACGATCTGGGTCCATTGCACGTGTCTCCCCCTTCCACCCCAGCGTTACATCCGCCGTTTATTTTTCCAGTCCCTCGCCCCCCCCCCCTTGATTCTGCAATCACCCCCCTTTCTTCCCAGCTACTCCCTCCTCTATCCACCACCTTTTCCCCTTCCACCCTAGAGCTTCAGAACCCCAACCCAAGCCAACATCCAGCACCTCTCTCCCACCCCAACCCCAACTGAACTTCCAAGTTTCCGAAGACAAAGAAAAGGTGGATTCTACATGTTCTCGAAAAGCGCATTCACACTGCTCAATCAGGACAAAAAACACATATTTCGTCGTGAAACGGTTTTCACCTCTTTGCAGTAGCAGACTCAGATCCCAGGGTTCGATCCCTAGACCTTGCCCTACCTGTGTACAGTACCTGTGTAGACCCGAGAGTTGAACCTGTGACCTGTGTATTCGTAAACAGTTGGTAGGTTGTCATAGGTCCGTAGGTAGCAGGGGTTCGATCTGTAGATCTGTAGAATAGAAGTCTGAGTTCCAAAAGTCTTAGCTGTAGTCCTTCTAGAAGGTCAGCACGTGGGCAAGTGGTGAGTCAAGTGGTGGACTAAACTGCCGTGCAATTGCAGTACGACTCCGGTAGGTTAGCAGTGAGTCCCCATTCAGTCAGCGGTAAGGTCCAGTCAGTCCCAGTCCGGTCCAGCAAGTACCACGAGGGACTGTGAGCACCATGGGCCGATGGAAGAGGGCAGACCAACGAGTTTCAGAAGTATAAATCAACAGGCAGCGCCCAGCCATTCATTCATTCCTGCGTGAGCCATGCGGAAGCGCTGCCACAGCGACTTGTGCAAGGAAGTCTGCAGTGAGCCCGGAGCTGAAGTGGGCGTGAGAGAGGAGCGTAGCATAGCGATAGGGTAGTTGCGGCCATAGCCGCCATAGCTAGAGTTAGTGTGTAGTG